CCCACCTTTCTCATCATCAGCAGACCGCGCCGGTTGTTTCCTGTGCAGAACTGGTGCTGTGTCTGTGGGTGCCTGGGTGACCACTGGGTGTCTCGTCGTGCCCTTCTGAACCGCTAGCCGTTTTCCTGGTTGAGTGTCGCTGAGCTGGCCTGCTGCAAAGTCCGGTACAGCCTTGGAAGACTTCTGATCCCCAAATTGCTGGGCGTTGCTCTCCAGCGCGCGTTGCACGTCTGCTAGTACGACTGGGTCTAGCTCTGTTTCTGAACCGATCAGGCTAAGAAAGGCGTCCACGTCGGCGTCGGTCATGGTGTGGTTGAGGTTGTGCGATCCCTTATGCGACTGCGGAGCGAGGCGAAGAGAGGCAAAGGGCGAGAACCAGAGTAACTACAGATATCGCCTGACCGCGCGAAAACAAGTTCCGAATAACCGAGAGAGAAACCGAAGCGTGAGAACTGATAGGTCACAGCTATGGAAAGTCCTTCTCCACCGGCCGGCGAGCCGCCTCGCCACAAGAACGAAAAAATAGTGCAGAACAGCACCAACGCCACAAACCGGAAAAGAGCCAGAGCCTTTCATAGAAAGAGCGGCTAATTAACCTGCCCAACCGCCTGTTAACACCAGCGAGAAAAAGGCCTCCGTCCCGAAAACGAACATGGGGGAACTCTCTTGATAGATGGCCTACGCCGACCTTGAAAGCGACTGCAAAAAACTCATAGACGTGAAGGACGGGCCACGAAAGACAAGCGCGAGCGCGCTCCATAATTCTCCAAAGAAGACCAAGGCCTTGTCCACGACCAAAGGCAGCTTGACAACCAAAGTCATGACGCGCACACAGGCGCACAGCGATGGGGCCTAGGCGCACGCGGGCGCACAGCAGGTGAGGCCGAAGCACACGCGGGCGCACAGTGATGGGCCAAGGCGCACGCGGGCGCACTAGACGAGGCCAACACGCACGCGGGCGCACTAGACGGGGCCAACGCGCACGCGGGCGCACAACCAAATGGCCAAGGCGCACGCGGGCGCACTAGATGAGGTCAACGCGCACGCGGGCGCACAACCAGACAGCCAAAGCGAATGAAGGTGCAGCTCGCAGAAAGGCGAAAACCAAAGGCGCGCAGGCCTGTGTACAACGCTCAACGCCGCCGCTTTTCATCTCTCGCATTACGGCCGGCATCATCTTCGCGCCTCCTGTAGTCATACCCAGAGCCGCTGTGCGCTCCACCCCCTCGTGAGCCGCCTGCTCCATCACCGCCAGTGCCGTGACCGCCTGCTCCCCCACCTGAGCGGCTGGCAGCGCGCTTTAGCGCTTGGTCCTTGACGCCGTCTACCAATTTTCGGGGTTTTGTCTTGTCCCGGAACTTGTCCTCATTACACAAAATGCTGAAGCAGATGTCGGCGGCAGCGAGGCCAATGCGCGGCTCGGCCGCCAAGGTGTTAGTGACCGCCATGCCGACCTCCGCACGGCGAATCAAAGGCTTGAGAACCTTAGTGGCGCCCTTGACATTCGGCGGATCCTCTGCCAGCAATGCTAAAGCCAGTTTGCCCTGCGTGGCAAAACCATGGAAAATTTGCTTGCCGAAGCCCGACGGGTCAGTGGGCTGTTGGGCCTCGATTCGGTCCACCAGGCGCCGCAATCTCTCTGGAGCTTCGTCGTCGCTGCTTGATGATGAACTCGAGCTGGAGCTTTCTTCCTTCTTCTTCCTTTTCTCTTTGCTCCTTTAAGCCTTGTCGGGTGCGACCGATGCCGCCGCGGCCTGGGCTGGCGACAGCACAGTGGCTGCCGGATTTTGACCCGCTGTTATTACCTTGGCCATGGAGGCCAAAAGCTGGCTCTGCTCTGCCATCTGTTGCTGCAATGGAGTTATGTTCTGCTGGATGGCGGTGGTAACCACCGCCGCTCCAGTGGCGGGGCTGCCGGCCGGTGGAGAAGTTCGGTTGGGGAGTGGTGGGAAAGTGATGCCACCAGCCTCGCTGGTGGGGGGACCCGCAAAGCCGGTGGTGGCGTTGATCACTAAATTGGCGCCATCTTGGGCGGCCGTACCTTGCCTTTGCTGCACTTGCTCGTTGTTCAACGCTGACATTAGAAAACGAAAGACTACAGGAACTTGAAACAGATGGTGATGACTAGGTGGGGCTTCAATGGCGAGCACGATGCTCTATCCGAGATTGAACAGCAAAAAGAGAAAGCTGTCAGCTACAAGCTGAAGCTCTACTGAGTGAAAGGCAGAATGCCTGAAACGAAAGAGCTGAAGCAATTAGTACTCGCCATTCCAATACGGTTGTACGACAGTCGCACAGAACCAGACTTAGAGACTCCGATCGCTTCGCTCCGTCGTATCTAAGTCAACAAATGCGGTGGGAGCTATGCTTGTCAGAGCACGGGAGGCAGGATGCTGGGGCTCATAACCTTTTGAAGAGACGGTGTCTCCCTGGAACCTAGCAGACATGGTGAAGAGTCATTGGCTGTTACATGTAGTCGGGAGGTCCACGACCTGCCACCGACAGCCCCTTGCTTGGGCGTAAATGTATGAGCCTGAGGTGCCGTTACCGGCACACAGCAGGGGCTCGGCCGCCAAGTCCGCTCAGCAGACACAATCGCAGCTTGCCAGCCTTCAGCCTGTTGGCTTTGCGGTCTGGTGCTGCAGCCCGAACACACACGGAAGACAGTGCCGTACAGCATGAAGGCAGTGCCCATACGATGCTTGTTGGCTACAGGCGAG